TCCCTTTTTAAAAATGGGGGTTATGTTTCCCCTTTTCCCGTCACCTCACCAGACTGCCACGACTTCTCAAATAGGATGGAGAGTAACTTCATCTGCCAGTTCCCTCAGGACTCTCGGATGCATCTCATCAGGTCCCATCGCCTTGTGCACCTTCAGGTTCCTTAGATAGTCTCAAACCTGATCTTCTCCCACGGTGGTCCGTACTTCATTCTCCCAGTCCCTGTTCAAAGAACACTGGACATTTCTGCGTGCCTGTAAGCGACTCTGCCCCACGTACCATGTCTATCAGGTCCCATCGCCTTGTGCACCTTCAGGTTCCTTAGATAGTCTCAAACCTGATCTTCTCCCACGGTGGTCCGTACTTCATTCTCCCAGTCCCTGTTCAAAGAACACTGGACATTTCTGCGTGCCTGTAAGCGACTCTGCCCCACGTACCATGTCTGTGCCGTAGACCGGGGAGGTCATCTTGATCTCCCAGAAGTGCTGCCCGTCTGCCAGCTCTTTGTTCCCCCGGATGGCCGCCGTGCGGCAGCTGCAACCCCTGTGGGCCTTGCGGTTCTCGCAGGTCAGCAGGGTGGCCGTCTACTTATTCAGGTTGTCCCACACCCAGTCGAAATCTGTTCAGGAAGCACAGAGGGGACAAGGATGGGCAAAGGCCCTCAGGGAGCCATCCCCAAGCCAAAGCACAGGCAGACATTTGGTTTGAAGGCCTGTCGGGGCTTTATTTATTTTTTTTTAACTGTTTAAGAGGGTAAATGCTAAGCTGTGTGCATTGGAGAGTTGTTTGAGGCCTGAACTATCCTGCAGTGTCCCACCGGGGATGGTTCAGTGCTCTGAACCTGAAGCTGTCAGCATTAACCAGTTCCCATTTTGGCTAACACGAGCCCCCGCAGACCCAGGCAGAGCCTCCTTTCTTCCTACACTTCCCGTAGGCTCAGGGGGTAGCTCCACTATGCCACAGGCTTTCTCGGCCAGACCGAGCCCCCCCTCTGCCTACCTCTCCCCTCTGCTCTGAGCACGCCCTGCCGCGCAGCCGGGCACCCTGCCAGCCGTGCTGGGGATCGGCGGCAAGCGGGCTGTAACCATGAGGGCTGGTTTCACTGGTGGCCTCAGCCGGATTTGCAAGCAGGTCCCCAGAGGTGAACTCTGATGCATTAGCAAGTTCAGCACTTAGCCCTTGAAACATCACAGGAGGCACGTGCTTGTTAATCTTCCTACAGTCTACGTGGCCTTGAGATGTAAACAAAGGAGCGCGGCACGCTGGGACAGAGATAAGGGCCTCCGTGGAAAGCAAAGGATCCGTGCAGGGGCGCAGTCCGTGCCGCCAGGCCAGGACTGCACCCACCTCAAACCCCAAAGGACTACGGCGGGCCATTGGGGAACCCCTTCCTTACACTCGTCCTCCTCGCCGCACTGGCAGTCCTTGACACGGTGGAGGGCGTGCAGGCTGGAGCAGTAGGGCGCTTCGCTCTGGTTCTCGCAGTTGCAGTAGGACTCTCCGGTCACAGGGATGGCGCTCGGGATGGAAGGCGAGAGGGAGGAAAACTCCGGCTCCGAATCCGAGTCACTGTGCTGCCGGGGAGAGCGGAGGGAATGGTCACTACCGAACGCCCCCAGGCTCGGGACGCTGGGCTGGGAGGGCTCTGCGAGGTCTCAGAGCTGTGCGGGGAGGTCCCCAGGCTCGAGCTGGTGGCGGCACGGCTGCATCGTGCCCCAGCCCGGCCCATCACACAGGGAGGTGAGGGGCTGTGCCAGTCGAACTACCCTGCTTTGGGACCCGCCTAGCGCCTGTCTGAGCTGCAGAGACCGCTCGGCACAGGGCACTGTACGATGTGGGTATGTTCCTTGTGCCTTCCAGGAGCGAGGAGCTGTCACAGCAGGCAAGCAGCATGACAGTCCAAGTCTTTAGCGCACGTATTTTTAAGCAAACTCTGTGTTAAAGCTACGGTTTTCAATGGGCAGGTTACAGCTGACTGGAGACCCCGGCCAAGGCATCCCAAAACCAGAGCACACTGCTGAAAACCTCCGCTCTGGAGAGCCTGGGAGCTGACAGAGAAGAGAGGGAGGCAAACAAGACGAGGAGGAAAAGGGACGGAAGGCCAGGCAGGGGAGAGGGCAGAACAAAGGGGAACCAGTTCAGCAGTATGGCTCCAGCTCCTCACACCAGCGCTGCAAACAGGCCCACAGAGAACCTACCGAAGGATTAAAAGGCTTTTGTTTACTATCATGCATGAACACAAAAACTTGATTTACTGTTCCCCAGTGCCAAGAGACCAAAGTGTCCCTGCGCTGGACGTTGTAAGAGTCAAAGCCCCGTCTCACTCCCCATGTTATGGGAGGCTTGGTGTCGCCTAATGGAGTCTCTTACCATGGACTGCAGTGAGTTACTCTGGGTTTACACAGTGGTCAGGTGTACCTGCTTGTTATTCACCCCCGTGGCAGACTTTGTAAGCAGCATTTAAAGACAAAAATCCTTTAAACTCATGTTCTTGTAGCTGTGTGAAATGACTCGGGCTCACTTATGTACTGCCCACCCCTCCTTCTCCAGCCTGCGTATTAAAAACCTTGATTTTTGTCTTTCATTGGCCCTTCCTAACTACTGCTCTCCATAAATCCAGCCGTTCCTGTTACTGCAGAAACACAAAGCTTCTCTGACTGCAGAGAAAAGGCTCATTTTCTGGGAGCACAGTGCCTGGGTTTGGACACCGTGCTCTGGCAGTGGCCTCGTAAGGCTTTAGCCTAGCTTTGAAGCTCTGGGAACAGTTCCTTGCGTCCCCACTGCTGCACGGGAACTGAACTCACACACTCAGGAGCTGGGGAAAAGAGTGAAGGATGGCGGAGGTGAATCTACATCACTCCTCGCACTGTTTTACTGACTGCTCTTCCTGCTGTGCTCCCATCTTCCAGCACACCTGCATGCCCGGGCCAGGTTCAGAAGTGATGTGCACGTTACAGAACAGGAAACGTGAGAGAATTTAAGTTCGAAGATATCCGAGACTGTAACTTCACAGGCTGAAGCAGCCCCACTCCCTCCACCACCACCTACCAGCTGCACAAAGACCACAAGTTAGCACAGCCACGCAGCGAGCCAGATTGGAGAAGTGAGCCAGTTTAAACACATATTTAGATCACCACTTAAAAAAGAATATTTAAAAAATATTGTATGCACTTTATATACAACACACACACATTATATGCTTAAAAAAGCATTTAGCTTAGTATCAATCAGCTCCCTGGCTAACGACAGAGCTGTGGTGCACAACTGAGGAGCAGACTACGGGCAGCTTAGCCTTCCCTGCCTTGGGAAGATGCGCCGGGAGACCCACGCCCCACATTAGAGCTTGCAGGAGGCTCGTTAGACAGCCTGTATATTTTATTAAGTCTTTTCTGATTTTGGCCAGTTCTGCCTGCTGAAGTACTAGCTGCTCAGTTACACGGACCTTGAGTAAGTGCCTGCTGTCAGGGGAGAGGAAAGCTTTCCCTCGTGTCACTTCAGAGCCGCC